TTTCGCCACATTGACAACGATTCCATGGATATGGGCCTATGTTGCCGCTTGATAAACCCACATCAAGCTAACTCTGTGTCATTGTAGGAGAGTTCCGGTTTATGACAGCAAGATATTCTGTTGTTCAAGTGGTCATGGACGAGGGCTACAGTGGATGGAAGAGGATTGATTCCGTCGATACTGTCAGATCTTCAAATCTTCCAATGTAACTATGAAAGATAACGGGGCATACTATAAGAGATCTTCTACCTATTAAAACAAATTTTTGTCATCCGACGGGCCGCTGTTGGCCATCAAGGTATTGGAAAGGTGGAGGAACGACGGTGCGTATCCACGCTCGGTCTAGGGTGGCGTATCGAAAATCCTTTCTCGAGTCGCGTGCGGATACATCGCTTATATCGCTTGTCTGGCCAATCACGCCTTGTTCAGCCCCCGGAGTTGAGACGGGCTCGTTCGTCCAAGTCTCAACCTCGAACGGCAAAAGCTCCGACAGGATCGCATTCGGGAGAGGCCTGTCTGCCAATCGTCTCCATGTCCGATGCACAGAGAGGAGACTACCGCACGACAGAATAGGCTGCTCACCCACTTGATCTAATGGCCATACCGCAGCGATGCTCCTATTTCTGGAGGACTGCACGCGTTCGCAATGTCTGTGTCTACTGTTATCACTACTGGGTTGATTGAGCAATGCTTGCTAGTCGTTCTATGGCACAAGGCAGAAGACGAAACGCGTAAGGCGGAATAACACGGAGACAAACGCCCCCTCGCTATCTCTAGTCCGCAAGAAGCTGTCGCCGTAGGAGTATGCTCTGTTTTTATTGACCTTCTATTTCGTCCTGCATCCCAACCGATCGTGAAGCTAACGAGGGTTGCGGCCATAAGGCGCCTTTAGTGACAGAGATTGTAATTGCGTAGATCTCTAGAATATATACAACCGCATAACACATAGGTGTAGGTCGACACGGATAAGTGTTTGTAGGCGCACCAACAGGGGCGCCTTACAGCTTTTTAAATCCGGAGGCTATTCTAGAATCTCGGCATAACCACCGTGGAATGTTACGGTTATCGCGAAAGAAGACACATTTACAATGTTAGTCTCGTAAACTGTCGTGGACTAAGCAACTACCGACCGACGCGAATCGCGGCCGAGACAGTCTAATCAGTCAAATTAAGCTAACTAATCCGATCACTGTTATCATCGGTTCCACATTGATACGAGCACCCTTTACTAAGGTCGACAAGGCTCTCGTGCGGTGTACGGCCCCAAGGCAGATTTGAAGCTACGCTGCAAGGTAGCGATTACACTCGCCGGATTGCAGAAGAGCCGATGAGTCACACAGGGGAAAGGGGGTAGCGGAGCTTAGGAGCTCGGTAATCCGGGTCAATGGCATAATTGCCTCACCTACGAGGCGTAGTAGAAAGGAAGGTGAAAAAGAAAATCGGAGCTATTAGATGGAGGGGGGAAGAGCAGGGGACTATATAGGACCACGCACGGGGAGGCACTAAGGACAAAGAGCGCTAAACCGCAACTAGACAAACTAAACTAAAAAGCCTAATTCATCATACCCGTCCGATATGGTGTAACGGCAATGACAAGACAAAGGCTCCGCCACACTCACGCCTCCCGGGAACTCCCTAGCCTTGAGAGGACCTTTGTCTTACGAAAGACCACGATCTAGTACGCGCTAGGAAGCGGGACCATCCCACGGCCCGCGCCGACCCAAGACCACTAATGTCCCAAGATAAGCCACGGTTTGACCAACACCACCAGACGTATCGCAGGACAACCCTGATCCTACGAGTGTTGACAACCCAGGGGACACGGCACGTGATCAGGACGTATCCTGTCGTAGGATATGATCAGACGTACGGACAAGATGACCCGGGGATAGGACGTATCCTACCACCGGGTAGGAAGAACTGGGATATATAAGAACCTCATGTATCTAGTTTAGTTCTTCGTTTTCAATCATACATTGTTACTTGTGTCTACTATTCAGAACCTTTGGTGACTCGTACAACTTGATTATAACTTGACAGCACTATGAATAGGCTCATACTCCGGTATCGACTAGTTCGGCGCATTATTCTGGCATCGCTCCTCGATACCCTTTAGGACTTAGCCCGATATAAGGCCTTTTAGGTGACAGTACGGTTGGGAGACAGATCCTTGACGTTGGAAGCAGAGAAGCACCAGGCAAGTATAACCCAGGAATCTTCTAACGTAGCGACGACCCGATAAGTCGTGCGTAACACAGCGGCGAAGGCTGCTGAGGAGAAACAGAAACGCGAGGATAGGGCAGCCGTCACTAAAAGTCTTACTGACCATACGACGATGAAACAACTATCATCTTCGGGTTATGAAGCTAAAGTCAAGTGACAGAGATAGCTGAGCATGTGAGGCTAGGCTATCATACTAGCAAGAACCCTAAACGCAAGCCATGGATGTTTGTTCATAGAAGCAAGTACAGTAGAGCAATACAGTACTTCCGGAAATTGGGGTCACCACGTACACTCTTCAATGGATTCTCGAACCCTGGTGCCGTAAATACTGCCATGACGTTGAATCTAGAGCTCGCTCCTGAAGTCTTCACGTCATTGATTCTTTTGGAGTGGCGTCCAACAATTTCTCGACTGGCAACGAACTCTTCCCATACAAAAGTCGTGTCGCAGGTGAGAATACCTTCCTATTCTCTCTCCTCCTACGAAAAGAATGAAAACATTCTTTGGCAACCCTACAAACCAAGATGGCATCGAACAACCACACGGATACAGATTCAGATGATGCAATTACAACAGCTGATAGGCAAATCTGCTGAATCCCACCGAAAAAAATTGCAAACAGCTAACACTGCACAGCTTCCAAAGAAGGCACACACTCCTCTGTCGATGGCAAACTCAGCTAGAGCTCTTCTTATTTCAGTTATGTCGCACGGTAGCTCCGGGCTTGGTTGATGAATGTCATTGGTCTTGTCCCGAGGCGGCAGAATTAAGTCGGCTTTCCGAGAAGGTCATCGAACACTTTTGTTTCCATAAAGTAATGTTCCAAAACCGTGGCATATCGGAAATTGAACGTGAAGCATTTTTCTCTAATTTACATGGAATTCGGCAAATCCGGCACTGTGCTGTGCATCGGGTTGTAGTGAATGCAGCAACTATGGGCAAATATGCGAAGACTGCACAGAATGTCAAAGAAGCCAAGCAAAGAGGCGAGGGCCGGGGGACTTCCCGCCCAGATGGTGCCCGAACTGACTGCACCTCCTGCGATAGCACAACCCTCTCCTACTTTAGAGTCAATGTACCCTACTCTTCCTTCTCTCTCGGAAGAGTCTTCCTCTTGGCCATCTACTCAGGATATTAATAATAAGGATGCTAACTGGGATATAGATATGGGATATAAAGACTTTAGTCATAAGGACTCTGTGAAGCTAGTCTAGGCGATCCTTAGTGCTTAAAAAGACCCATCCGAAATTAGGCGTACGTGGGAAAACGCGATACCTCAGAATACGAGTATTAAGTATAAGGAACTAAAATTCATTCTTTATCCTAATAGGTATCTAGATCTAGAGATAAAGAAAAAGGTAGATACGGCTTTTAGATATAAGTGACTAAATCACTCTATAGCGCTTTTTAATAGAGTACTAGTAGTATAGTAGGCCGAAATAGGGTCCGCGCGACTCTTCCTAGGAGAAATTAATAAGAACGACTAATTCTATTAGGGAGCAACTATAGCTAAGCTATATATTAAAGGAGAGCTCTCTCCTTATTATAAAAAGCTTTATACCGATACAACTAGTACCCTAAGAGTCCTTTACTCCGGAGTTTAAGAGAACCTAAGACTTAATATTAAGAGTATAGCTTGCCCGGAGAATATTAAAGCTTCTATAAGAACTCTCGACGATATAAATATATATATAAGAAAGAAGAATATCGAGGGAGGAAAAGATATAGACCTTAGGATTATTCGTTATAATAGCTTATTAGGGCAATAGAGAGTAGCCGCCCTTTAACTAGAACTAAAGCATATTATAATATAAGCCGTCGAACAGTTCTACTAGGCGTAAAGATACCTAAGTAAATAGGCAAATTTATCTCTTATAGCTACCAACTTAGCGGAAGGTTCTTAGAGAGGACTAGCACCGCAAGTATCCTAGTCAGTATTAGTAGTATAAGCATCTTAGTCAGGATCGGCAGCACAAGCATCTCAGCCAGGATCGTCAGTATAAGCATCTCAGCTAGGATCGTTAGCACAAGCATCTCAGCTAGGATTGGTACTACTAGGATCTCAGCCGGGGCTAGTACCACAATCGACTTAGTTAATAGGGCTTTAGCTATATCATATATCTATAGGAGGTCTAACACGTACAATTATATTAATACTACGAAAGGTCAGCCGTTTAATTAATCCTAGATATACCTCTACTAGGGAAAAAATTTAAATAGTATAGTCTCTTAGAATAGTCGGCGTACGGTTTATAACCGAGGATATAAGCGGTAGAGTACGTCTTATATTAAGTATAGTAGCTAGAGGCCAAATAGCTATTAAAGGGGCAAAATCTATCGGTATTCCTTATACTATAAGAGGCGAAGAAGAAGTAAGGGACCTCCGTGACTATATTCGGAGTAGTAAAAGATATAAGTATAGCCTAAAGTAGGTCGTAGTTAGGGAAATAAGCCCTATACGAGACAAATGTCTATATATCGTCGTTAGATTCTATTATTAAGGGGATGACGGGACCTTTAAGGGCCCGGTTAGCCTCTTAAGATTATCACTAAAGAAGGTTCTCTCGGCAAAGGAAGCGGATAGAATAATTGCGGAGGCTATAGGCTTTGATCCTGATATCTACTTAGAGGATGCTATATCGGGACTATCTAGCCTGACATTGAAGCCTAAGAGATACCAGTCACAGCGTGGGATATTATGCTTGCCTAGTGCGGGAGATACTAACTACTTCCCTCCTATACAACAACAAATCGAAGCAGGTTCTAGCATATCCTAGATGCCGCAATTCCAGCAATTCAGACATAGTAATTTGCAAAATGGTCTGCCGATGAATATACAGCAACCGCTTAATATACAGCAATTCATACAGCAGTTTATATAGCAATTTATACAGCAGCTGAACATGCAGCAACCGAACATGCAGCAGCCGAACATGCAGCAGCCATTTACGCAGGAGCCATTTACGCAGCAGACGACCTTGCAGCAGCCATTTATGTAGTAGCCGAACATACAGCAGTACCCATTCCAGCAGCCGCAACCGTTCCAGCAGCAGCCAATGCAGTATACGAATATGCACCATCCGAATATGTCGCAGCCAGCCAATGATAATGATAAATTATGATGGATTTAAGAAATGATGTTCGCTTATCATGTCTACGCGCTGAAGAAGGGACAGAGACTTAGATACATAACACTTGATTTAGCTCAATCAGAATGAAGAATGCCATTCTAGGTGTGCTTAGCCGAATAAAAAAAAAGAATAGATGTCAGTTCATAGGGTTTTTGAACATAAATATATGGTGTCGTTGATTTCTTGGGTGCTCGGTAGACGCGGCGGGAGAAGATAAAATCGCAATGCGAGTGAAACATGTGTTGATGTCAAGCTTAGACGAAGAGTAGATTCAATTACAACATATTATTTGTAGGTAACCTTGTAGCCTTTGTGCCAAATTAGAATTATTTGTAGTCGAGTGTCTCTTGTAGGGTGACGCATAGTGTCTAGAGAACCATGCTCAAGACCTGGAGCTAATCTAGCCCTCCGATTAGCTCTGCAACCTGGCACAACACGAGCGAAGGCATAGCATATTATACGTGCGGCCTTTTCTTAGGAGAGATATACTTCAGCCATAATGTATGGTAGGATATTCACAAGCCTGGCTTTACAGACCTGCTTTATTGGCCATGAAGTACGCCATCCTTTTTCCTTTAAGTCGCTATTGAAATGTACAAATATTGAAACTACATGAAATATCGCCAATTGAATGCATAAGCTCTGTGATGGAATGTTTCTTTAAGTTATCTTGTTCATATTGTAAACGGTGGACCTGCGAATTGCCTGTTCGAGTTAGTTTTGCCTTTTTGGGTTTAGCGCCCTAATAAGCTGTTTTGTAGCCTCTCCTGACATCGCCTCGACATAAAAGACCCGACCTCGCCTTTTCGACCTCTCTTCTCCTTCTTCCCCTACCTGGAACTCCTCTATCTTGCACTCATCGCCGCCCCCTTTTTTTCCCTCGCGCTCCCACCGACCGTTGTGCCTTGGTATCACCTGTGATAGAGCCCATCAGATAGCTTGATAGCCCTCTCTCTCTCTTTCCTCCTCTCCTCTTTGTCCATTCTTTCCCATACAATTATACATACATTGCTTTCTCATCAAGTACCTATTATATCGTGATCCTATAAGGTTATAAGCTTCTCTTGCTAGTTGGACCACTAGGAGATACAGCCGGAAGTTATAATTAACTTGCAGTTAAAATGAGAGCTGTAGCCCTCGGCGTTATGGTGCAATTTCGAAAATTATATTCGCGTAAAGATATGTGTTTTTGCAAGCGGAGCAAAAACCGGACCATTTCCTGTAGATCATTTACTGATACTTTGAAGCAGCTTGCCGGATTGAAGGGCAGTGGTTCGTGGAGGAGAGTGCGGAGAGATATGATTATGGAGGTGGCACAGTGGTGAGATATACCCAATTATATTGTTGGCACCTCATAATCTCAAATAATAATCAGGATATCGCAACATACTATGTCACAGATGTTGTTCCAACAATCTCTATTGAGCAGATCACCGACACTATGGGTGTGATATACAAAAAAGGAATTGACATGACCTTGGCACTAATAGGAAATAGGAGCTAAATGCGGTGGAACTGCTATTGACAGTCGATTCTATGAATTTATGTCTAGTCGGCTTGAAGGGGAGTTCGATAACCTACCCATGAGCGAGATCTAGCTAGGGAGCTTGGTCATGCAGAAATTTGAAAAGATCAAAGCAGCGTTCAATTGCAAAGAAGAATCCACCTGGCACTTTGATTTAAACTTCAATGACCCCGGCACCCATCTCGCATTTTCTAACCGGAGACAAAGACGTGTTGTTCTTCGATCCCAAGATGTTCGAGATTTGTACGAGCCTGTTCTCGGCTCGATTTTCGCCCTCATTCGGTCTCAGATTACAGCTGCAAATGAAACATGTAGGCGCGATGTCATCAAGGTAAGTGCATTTTATCCGTGCTTCGTGGGGTACATGTGAAAATGACATTTACATCTTATCTTTATTCTATAGAAAGTCGTCTTGGTTGGCGGATTTAGCGCCTCGCCCTATCTCCAGGAAAGTCTACAACGTGCCCTAAAGCACATTGGCAACATTTCTGTGCTTGTTCCTACGAAGCCGTGAGTAAAATCTCTCCCTGTATGCTACAAGGTTAGGGAGAAATCTAACATGTATATCATAGGGGAGAGACCATTGTTCGTGGGGCAGCATTTCAAGGCCTTCGGGGCTACTCCCTTCCAACTTACAAGTGCTGGCGAAACTACGGTCTAGCATCGGCTCAACCTTTAGCTCTCTCCCACCGAAACGAGTTGCAGGGGCTTGGGTATGGGCCTAGCACATTGCCTGTGAATCTCCTCCATTGGGTGTTACGCAAGGTGTGTAGGATGTAAATATCCACTACCTGGCATTATCTAACAGATGAATCCCGGGAAAAAAGAACCAGAGATACTCAAACGGATTCCAGACATCCTGTACAATTTGGTTACTTCATTGGGAGAATGATCTTCTTGTCAAAGCTGTGGATATTTATGAGTCCAATCTCCCAGTTGCACCACAACGATTTGGAAACACCGGTACGTCTATAGTTCCCACAACTTTTTGTTTATAGTCTCAATCAAATCATCGGAAATGATAAGAACGGTTCAATATAGATGTGCGCTGTGTCGATTACATTGAATGTCAATTCAATGGCCTTGACCTTGCGCGGTTTCCTCACCAAACCATCGCCGGACAGACAGTCTATTTCTTGGAGGTTTCGGTTGAAGTGTCTTTTCCAATGACCGATCAGGTGATACGTTTCAGTGCACGTACACTGGACCAAGAAATTGGAGAAAAGTACCTTACTATGGCTCATGATTGATAATAGAATACGGATGCCTTGAATTTGTAACTGAAGAGACAGCTGGGTTTATAGAACGTGAACTTTCTGGTTGAATCAATTTGGCTTACTATTCCTTATCCTCGTCTTCATCCTAATCCTTGTTCAAATCAAAAGTGAATAAATAGTGCGGTGCGGCAGGTATTTGGGCCTCATTTTCGTCACATAAGGGGCAAAGAAACGGTCTGTACGGCAGTTGTTTGGGACCATCATGAGTGTAACTTTGAACTCGCCTGGTTCTTTAATAGAGCTGATTCACCAGTTCAACACTATGGTGTTAGGTGAAAAGAAATATGTAACATAGCGGAAGAAAAGACATTGTAAAAGTTCCATCGAGGACCTTCAAACGGATGATTTGCAAATGTCACCACAGAGTCGGGGGGGGGGGGGGGAGTAGGTGACTGGGAGCAGGATGTGGTAAATTGGAATCCAGAAAGAATGAACAAGGACAGATCCTAATGACTCTAGGATGGATTCTTATCACTCAACCCTAACCTGGCTTCGATGACCTTGACTATCTCGGTCCATTCCAACATAGCGCCACTCCCCACGTCCCCACAAGCTAACACCTTGGATGACTGCGGTTGTAGAACCTCAAACCAGCCCACCTCCTCTCTCTTGTCCTCATCTTCTCTAACGCCCCATTCCTCCTTTAGCACTCGGATATGCTGGGAGGTCACTGGGTGCCGCCACATAGCCGTATTCATGGCCGGCGCAACTACAATCCGTTTCCTTTTCCCGTCAACATGGCCATCGGTATCCCAGGCCCGACATACAGAGGTCAATAGGTTATCGCTAAGTCCGTTGGCGAGCTTGGCTAGGGTGTTTGCGGAAAGAGGAGCAATGACAAGGATATCTGCCCAGCGTCGGAGAGAGATGTGTAAGATATCAACACCACGGCGCCAAGGCTCTGGTCCCCACTCCGCGTCATCATCGTAGACGGCTTCCACGCCAGGAAGGGAGATGAGGGACGAGACGGTGGGCTGCTCGGCGGACTGACCAGCTAGGAATTGCTTGGCTTTGGTGGTGAGGATTACTCTTATCGAGAGCTTGTGTATATAATGGGAGAAGGCGCTGATGATATTGGCTATTTTGATAGTCGCGACTGAGCCAGTTGCAGCAAGAAGGAGGTGAATGCGATTGTCACAGATCGATGTGTTTGATGCTGTGGAATTTTTGTTCAGGGCATCATCGCCACTGCCGTGGGTCATTTGAGACATGATGACTTTGGATATAGACACCCAAATGCGTCAAATTAGTTTGTCTGTACCATGTGCAGTTTCGAGCACGTCGTTATAGATGATACATGGGATCGGTGGTTGAGAGGACTTCCAAGGCTTCCAAGGTTGGAAGTGGGGTGATAAGAGCTTATCGATAAGAATTCGGGTTTATATGATGTACCCATGTACCTACATATGTAGGTATATAGGAACATCCAGGGCTAGGTAGGTATATGTATGTATTATAAAATCGGTACTACTGAGATATAACTGATATTATTCCTATTAGTGAGATGACTATGATTTTTTTTTGGTTCATACACCCATTCGAACCCATCATGCATTTCGAATAATATATGTATCATGCCCGAGAACAGTATAACTCTCATCGTATGTTCCCTGTACTCGGAAACAACAGCAAATCAGGCAAATCAAGTGCTCTTCTTAGCATTCTCACGCTCGGCCTTTCGGAGAGCGCGCTTCCGAATGCTCTCGTGCATAGACTTGTTCTGTCCGAGAACAAGCTTGCCCATAGTCCCAGAAACAGAAGTCAAGAACCATGCCATGATACCATGACTCCAGTAGGGCGACGAGCTGTAAGCGTAGGTAGGCGATCCACCACTGCGACCAATCTTCGAGAGAACGGAGCGAACGAAAGCGCGTGGGGTAGGGATAGAAGCCGAGGCACGACGGATCTTGGACATGGCAGATGTAATGAGGTAGGCTTGGACAAGTTCCACATCAATGCCGTAAGGGGCCAACTCGCTGCCAAGAGCAGTAGACCAATGCTGAAGGAATGCCTTGCTGCCGGAGTAAGTGGCGAGGAACGGGGTGGGTAGGAGACCGCCGAAGGAGCCCATGGTCAGAATCAGACCGCGGCGGCGCTGCATCATGCCCGGAACAACAAGCTGGGTGACGCGCAGCGTGCCGGTGCAGTTGATGGTCACAATATCGGCCATCTCTGCGGCGGGGGTCTGCGCAAACGGAACGGGGATCGAGTGGCTCAGGCCGACATTGTTGACTAGCACAGACACATCTAGAGCGGAGACCAGTTCGCCCAGCGCCTGGTAGTCGGCATCGGCGTTGCGTGAGAAATCCATTGCGAGTGTCTTGGTCTGCACCTGCGGGAACTGCTTGCTGATATCCTCTGACAGCGTTGCCAGCTTCGAGGCCGTTCGTGATACAAGGACAATATTGAACTTCGACTTGGCCAATTGTAGTGCGAATTCCTTGCCCAGACCGTCTGAGGCGCCCGTTACCACGGCCCAGCTACCGGGGGGACCGAATGAGCGAACCTTTTCAATCATTCTAATCAGTTTCATCCCATTAATATTGAAGGACTGAATATTGAATTCCATACCGGTTTGCCCGGAAGCACGAACAGGCTGAGAAGCACCCGCACGAACGTCCAGACCTTGCAGGCAATGACCAGCCCACCAGTCGCCAGGAGGAACAGGGCTCCGTAAGTAGGTAAGCCCGGGGTAATACGGGCTGGCCATTGGGATAGACACTCAATATGCTTCGAGAGATCCATAATGAGCAAATAAATGTGAACAACGCGAAGTTGGTAGAAGGTAAAAAAAAAAGTTGAGCAAATGCGAGTCTTCCAAGGTTGTGTTGGGGAAGATCACAGCGCCAAGACATCTCCCCAAACATCCTCGGCCTCTCAAGGTCACAAGGAAAAACAACCCCAATCTCCTTTCAAGCGAAAAGAAAAAAACACCAAGACACTCACTCACTCCAAAATGGACCAATACCTCACCTATCTCCCCCAGTCCGACGGCTTCCTGCCCAAATGGCTTTTCTTTGTAAGTTCTGTGTCCCTCTCCAATCCCATTACCACTGCCACTTTGAACCCCTAGATACCAATGCCTCCCCCCAATCTGAACTAACCACCTCTCTATATAGGTTTCGGTCATCTCCGCTCTTAACAGCCTGCAAGCCTACACTGCACCGGAATATACCTCCCTACTCTACAGTAATGGCAAGGTCCCCGCAACTCCGCTCTCCGGCCGCGTCTTCGGAACCTGGACCTTCCTCTCTGCAGTCATTCGCATGACCGCTGCTTACAACATTACAAACCCTGTCGCGTACGACCTTGGCATGTGGACGTACGGTATTGCGCTGTCGCACTTTATTGGCGAGCTCATCTTCGGCAATGCCTCGCTCAAGGGTCGGTTCTTGAACCCTTTGATTGTTGCGTCGGGTTCGCTGGCTTGGATGTTCACCCAGCGCGAGGCATACCTGAGTTAAATCCGTAGTTTTGGAAAAGAGGATGGCTTCAGAAAATAGTTCGACGCAGCGCAACACATGGAACAGAAGGCCATGGAGGAACTGAGCATTGCATGTTGGACCACAAACTATGTATAACTTAACGCTTCGGCACAAAATCTTTTGCGGAGGAAATAATATATATGCATATGGGAGGAAATATCTTCAACTCTGGTATAACCTGGTCCAGATTTCGTTACTGTCGTTTCTTTCTTTCTTTTAATTCCGATGCACTTCACAAATCGATCTTCTTCCTGTACAAGTCACCACCGCAAGCCCGCAGCTTGGCAGCGGCTTGTTCGGGGGTGATATCACGTTGAGGCTCCGCCATAAGCTCATAACCGACCAAGAACTTGCGCACGGTAGCGCTTCGTAGTAGAGGTGGATAGAAGTGCAAATGCAGGTAAGATGCCTCAATCTCTTCCTCGGTGCCATCTAGCGGAGCTTGGTGAATACCCATGCTGTAAGGGAAGTGCGTCTCGAAGAGATTATCATAGCGACGGGTAGTCTCAGCGATCGCCTCAGCAAGAAGCAGTTTATCGGCCTCCAACAAATCCACCAGCGCGCGCTTGTGCGTGCGGCTAACAATCATCGTTTCAAATGGCCACGTCGCCCACCAAGGACAGACAACTAGGAACGCCTCGTTCTCAAACACAACGCGCTCCTCCTTGCGGCTCTCCAGCGCAGCATAGTCCTCCAGCAGGTGGCTACCGCCGTGCTGCTGGCGGTACTTGGTCAACTGATTCATTTCGGCAGCGGGCTCTTCCGGCATTGAGCTGGTCGTCCAAACCTGTCCGTGCGGGTGTGGGTTTGAGCACCCCATCGCCGCACCCTTGTTCTCGAAGATCTGCATGTACCGGTACTGCTCCTTTGGCTTGGTGAAGCTTGTTGAGGGGGAGGTAGGCGGGAGTGTTGTTGCGGGTGCGTTTTTCGCTAGCGACGACGCTGGGGACAAGTGTGCTGTGTAGATTTCTGTCCAGGCGTCGATCACGGGCACGATCTCGCGAGGTGTCAGGTCGGCGAGGGTAAGGTTGTGCGCGGATGAGAAGGTGAGCACGTAGCACTTGCCGGTTACAGGCTCGGCTTTGAGGAACCTCGATTCGAGTTCTGTGGTTTGTGAGCTTAGTACGGGTGGGATGGGCTGAACGGTTGGACGTACCGTCCTGGTTCGAGGGCTCATAGGTCGCTTGATCTTCTTTTACTGCGCTGTAGTCGTTCACAAATACGAAAGTACTCTCATAATTGGGGTTGGTATCGCCCTGGGCGCGCTCGTTCCCGGGGCAGAGGTAGCATTTGGGGTCGTAGTTGGGTAGGGTAGTCTTGGAAGGGCTCTCCTGGGCTCCTCTAGATTGTTGTATGATTAGCTCAGTTATTTCAAAATGTACTTTTGTCACAATAATACTCACTGCCAGGGTCGCTTGGTTCGATGGGGAGAGACCAAGATGGAGGAGCCACGGAGGGGGTTGTATCTCCGGTGGGAGATGTCGTCGAGCACGTTTTCCATGGTGCTATAGATTGGAATGATCACAAGAATACAGGAATACCTGAGGAGAGAAGAAGAAAGAAAAAGAGAAGAAAATCCCCGAAGATGGTTATTTAAAGGGTCTCGGGGTTGGACTTGTGGTGGGGAGGCGGGGTCTCCGGAGTAGGAATGTGTCAGGTTACGGCTGTTAAGCGAGGCCAAGTGTTATGTCTATAGGAGTCTATAGGCGGATCTCGCCGAATGTGCTAAGATATTCGAAGTTGTAGAAACAATATACATTGGCATACAATCTCTTGGCATCACCTCCGTCTTTCTCTCGGTGAGCCGTACGGAGTACAGGGAATCGGGATCCCGCAGTTTTCTGGGGAAACATCCACGTTTGGGGGAACTGTTTGACCTGAATTTAGCCAAAAGAGGCAATTTAGCGCCGCAGCTAACCGATAAAAAATCAGAATCCCCGGGTGTTGTCCCACTTGGCTACCCAGGTGGGCTGCCCAGGTGGGCTAGCAGTGGGCTGGCAGTGGATTGGCAGTGGACTAGAACCCCCCTCCTCCCCCCAAAAGGCCGAAAAAGGAAATTTCTGCCCGCCTCTCGCGGTATGACGTCACTTATCGCTTATCGTCCTCCCCGTTTCTGTTGTACGTGTACATCAGAACAGTACAACAGAACAACATAGATCAACTGCAACACTGCAACTCACATAAACACGTTGTTTATTATCGGTTGCATTAATTGACCCATTGGGGTATACTAACCATCATCAATGGCCTCTCTTCTCAGTTTGCATTTCAATTAACACCCAATAATCAACCACTATGAACCCCGCCAACCCCGCGGTGACCTTGGACTCGTTACCCAACGAGGTATGTCTACAAAGAAGACTATAGCCTATGACTCTAATGATGTCTTTAGGTATTTCTCCAAATCCTATCCGACTTCTCAACCCGGGCACTTCTCCCGCTCACATCAGTCAACCACCGATTCCACGCTTTAGTTTTAAGAATCCTCCACTACCGCCTACTTCTCGGCATACCACTCAAGGAATACAAATTACTATTGGAATGCTTTCATCCTAGCTCAAAGCTCACCGAGCCACATGTCTTCTGCAAATACCTCGGTACAGATGGCCTGAGCGATTGTCATGATGGCGCGGGTTCGTTGTATGAGAATCTCGATACCGCCCACCAGCTTGGTAGAGTAATGGGGCTATATTCGCGCTTCCGTCCAGAGGTAAGCAGCGATGAGGAAAAAAGGGGGACATATGGCTCGAAGTTCGGTTTCTCGCCAGGTAGGATGCTTCTTTTGTCGGAGGTAGTGGGGTTCATACGGGCTGACATGAATGTGGGTCGACAAGACAAGGGAGAGGATGCAGTGATACGCGAGGTTAATTTGGACGGATGTGAGGATTTCTCACAGTTATGTGTGGTAGCCAATCTAGTACAAGTTAAGCCGGGAACGTTGTTGCTGTTGAGTGCATCGACTATTGAGGATGGGTTTGTTCGGTTATGGAGGGAGTGGTTGCGCGGTCAAAGTGGGAAGATGGAAAGCACTACTGAGACTGACTGGGAAGGGGGCTCTGAAAAGGCGAGGATGTCTTCCGACGACGATATACTATGGGTGGATACTAGTAAAACCGTTGGGTTAAAAATGCGCGTGCGGCCAAAGGCGTGGGACCCGTCTTTCCCAGTTCTTGTGCATCAAGATGATCGGGATGATGACTCTTGGGTTGGGTACGAGGTGATTTTACAAGGTTAGTCATTGCTCCAGTGGAGAGGATCCCGTGTTGACTTGATAGAACTCCACATCCGCTCTACGCGTTTGCTGCTGGCTGTTGAGCAGTCAAAGGAGGAGCAGAAAATCCATCAAACCAACGCAATGGTGATTGGGGCTGCCCCAATCTCGATATCTTGAGTACAAGTTGATATATTTTGTACTTGGCAGTACATAATACAATTGTATATGGCAACTATATATCCTTATATGAATGGAATAGTTACATGGGGAGTTACATAGTAACATAAAGTGGACATCGGAGCTCACTTCATATATGTACCAGGTATTACCTACACATAACTAGCCCTCAGCCACCGGTATATGTATGGCTTAGGGCTTAGATAATTCTTAGGTGCCTCCTCTTGGAAAGGATTAATAGCAATTGATTTCTCGTTGAATGTGCAATAGACCATCTGGATTTGATTTTAGATGAGTCTATCAGTATGAAATTATGGAATTAAATATAGAAATATTAGGAACAAGGTGATTTAAAGATTTGTATTCTAGGCATGATATTGTTGATTCAATATTCCTTTCTAGGATTATCTCTTTATAATGTAATCGATGGGTCCATCTGCATATATATAGGTTAAAAAAAGAAAGAAAGAAAGAAACCCTTGTATATCTGCCAAGCCATCGAAGCCTTCGGGAAGCCGTAAAAATGGCGTTCGGGCCGACATTTGGGCCAGTCAGGTTGCTTCGGGGCTCATATTAAACTCCACCGAAAATTTGTGCGAGGGCGTTCAATTGCCGAGATATACAAGATATATATACATACGTAAAAATTTTATGTTAAGGAGAGTGGGGGAAGTTCGATTATTGAGCCGAGGCTGCTTTCGGTTATATTTGAATGTCCTTTTTTTTCTTCTCTTATATAATTCTCAATTTTTGAACATTTTAATATTCTCGTTGATTTTTGCTGTTTTGGCCATTACATCCTCTAATAGATCTATCACCACTCCACATCACTACATAGCTCCTGGCCTGAGCCCGTCAAAATGATAGCTCTCAATGACGGGGCCAGGGCCATTTTGCCTTCCAAAATTCCTTTTTGGCGCCTGGTCTTCGACCAAAAGGTCGTCACCGAGGAAGTCATGCAATTTTCATACACCGGCTCAGGCACTGAAGACGATCCATATGCCGTCGTCTGGATCCCTGCCGACCCGCGCAACCCCATGAACTTCCGCCCGATTAAAAAGTGGTCTATTACACTTCTAGTATCATTCGTGACTCTCGCAGTATCATTGGTCTCATCGGCGTTCTCAGGAGGAATGAGCCAGATCATGGAAGACTTCGGTGCCTCCCGGGAAATCGTCATTTTAGGCGTATCGCTCTTCGTGCTTGGATTCGCTATTGGGCCCTTGATCTGGGCACCCCTTAGTGAGATCTTCGGCCGGAGACATATCTTTACCATCTCTTTTATGTTTCTCACTGTGTTCAATGCCGGCGCGGCGGGTGCGAAGAATATTGAAACACTCGTTATATTGCGATTCCTAGCGGGTTCCTTTGGATCTTCGCCGTTTGGAAATGGGGGCGGCACTATTGCGGATATGTTCCCAGCTTCTCAACGTGGTATCGCTATTAGTCTTTTTGCTGCTGCACCCTTCCTAGGACCGACACTAGGCCCAGTCATTGGAGGATTCCTAGCTGCCGCTGCCGGTTGGAGGTGGGTGGAGGGACTCCTTGCTGCATTCTCGGGTATACTCTGGCTATGTATCATCTTCCTATTACCAGAGACATATGCACCTGTTCTACTGCGCCGTCGTGCAGAAAAGATGTCTGCTTTAACTGGGAAAGTGTATCGCAGTCAGCTCGACATCGACCGTGGTCCCGCTCCTCTAGGCAAGACGTTGAAAACCGCGCTTTCCCGCCCATGGATCTTGCTCTTCTATGAGCCAATTGTGCTACTTTTCTCCATTTATATGGCGATTATCTACGGTACGCTCTATATGCTCTTCGCCGCCTACCCAATCGTCTTCCAAGAAGTCCGCGGCTGGAGCGAAGGCATCGGCGGTCTCGCCTTCCTTGGTATCCTTGTCGGTATGGTGATGGCCGTGATATACACGTTCCCCGAAAATTTTCGCTACGCCAAAAAGTGCAGCCAGACTACCGACCGACTCGCCCCCGAGCTGAGACTACCCCCAAGCATGGTCGGTGGTATAGCATTACCAATCGGCTTATTCTGGTTCGCCTGGACCAACTCGCGTAACATCCACTGGATGGCCTCGGTCGCAGCAGGAGCGCCCTTTGGTTTCGGCATGGTCCTCGTCTTCCTTAGTGTGTTCAACTACCTCATCGACTCATACACTATCTTCTCTGCCTCCGTGCTCGCTGCAAATTCCGCCCTCCGCTCACTGTTCGGCATGGCCTTCCCGCTTTTCACAACCTACATGTACCATAACCTGGGCATTCATTGGGCCTCGTCGATTCCGGCCTTTTTGGCGCTTGCTTGCGTGCCCTTTCCGTTCATCTTCTACAAGTATGGCGCCCGCATCAGACAGCGGTGCACATACGCATCAGAGGCGGATGCCTTTATGCGCCGCCTTGCTGAGAGAAACCAGGCGGCCCGCCGTGCGGAGCCTGATTCGGAGAAAGAGGAGAATACGGACTCGGTGACTCGGGTATTTGACGATGCCGACTTCAGTGATACTGATACTTTGTCTACTATTCCATCTCGCGGTACCATCGCGCGTCATGCGTCCCGCGCGTCTCGGCAATCCGGTCGGTCTTTGCATCGTGTTGCGACCGCGGCGCAATATGAGGAGAACCCCTACGACTTGGATCTGGTCAATACTCGACAGTCGGCTATCAGCCGCAAGGGTTGAGTAGAGAGGCATGACAGAATCATTAGCATATATGTTGTACGTTATCCATATCTGAAATATCCCAATTTTAATGCATTTAACCAGCCATATTATGAAATGCAATATACAAACCGATAATAAATAGTTGACAATTTGGCCCGAAATTAAAATGATCACCTCATCATCGGTGGGGGACCTCGGTCCATCTCCACCTCGGCCCCAACCTCCGCGCTAGAATCAACCCCATCTTCGCTGATTCAGATTCAACTAGGCTGACTGGTAATCCTGGGATTATATCAAATATTCCCATTCACCATAATCGTCATGCCTGGCAAAATTGACGCCTATGTTGACTGCGGTATGCAAGCCTGCCGCCCCATCCCCTGGATTGATGGATTCCATTGTTAATTGCTGCTTTGACAGTGTCGCCATACTCATACTACGCAACGCTTTATTTACGAAAAAATCGCAAAGCTCTAGAATCACATGGGGTTGAGGTTGAGTATGTGCATCTCGCGTTGTTACATAGGAGGTATGGGTGTTAATAGAACAGATTCCACCCGGTCTTCTTAGGCGGGATTAATGTTGGCTCAGGTATGCATTTCCAAATATCATTCGGATATTGTTATCGATTAATATCAAAGTTACTGACACTTTGAACAGGGAATAAGCCCCCCTGGACACTTCCCGCCAAAGCAGCGTACTCCAAATTCGACTCGGAGCGAGCATGTAAATACTTTGGAGTCCCGCAGATCCAAACACCCGAGTTCTTCCCAATCCTATCAATCATGGTATCATCATCTCCATGTCTTCCAAAATTTTTCTTCCTCACTAACGAACCAGCCCCAACGATGCATGATCTACATCAAAAGTCACTTCCCACGCGAGAAGTACGAAACAACCTTCCTGTCGCTGTGGGAGTGGATGTTCTACAAAAGTATCGATATCAGCAAGCCAGAGAAATTAGCTGAGCTCTTACAGAGTAACGGGTACTCTGGCTCGGAAGTTAGGGAGATCCTGACTGCTGCGTCAAGCGCGGAATTCAAGCAGGCTTTGACCGCTAATACCCAAACTGCTCTTGATAAGGGAGCCTATGGCGCGCCGTGGTTTTGGGTGCGAAATTCCGACGGAAAGGAGGAGCCATTTTTCGGTAGCGATCGGTAGGCCTGGGAGGATCTCTATACGATAAATACATGCTGATTGTTATAGGTTTGCATTCATGTGGATGTATCTCGGCTTACCTTTTAAGGATGTTGCGATTGCTGAGAAGTCGAGGCTTTAGGTTGGATATGATGTCTTGTGAATATCAGATCATATCGAGTTTTCTTGAATTCTATATGCTCTTTAAATATGTTTTTCTGGCTAGGGCAACTCTCGGCTACCACGAATGACTTATGGCGATGTGCAGATGCTAAGAAACTAATTTCCAGGATACAACTAAGCCTATATATCAAGACGGAACCCTTTAAAAGCTAACGCAGCGGTCAAATATGGAGTATAACTAGCAGACAGTCTTGAGGATATGGCTTTTTTGCCTGTTAGATGGGGCGGTATTTTGGTTGGTCCTAGAGGACATTGTAGCTTCACATCGAAAAATGTTGATGAAGTTAAAATAGGATGGATACACACATCTAGAACATAAATCCATATGTATTTATGTACTTATGACCACCGGCTAAGATTTGAACCCTTTTACCCCACACCCCACACTTATAAAGACCCGATACTTCCCCAACAGTCTCGCAGTCTTCTATGTGCACACCCATCTCTGTTAAACAATCATGACAGGGCCTAGAGTTGCTTGGATAGGTCTCGGCAACATCGGCCGTGTAAGTCAACTCCCAACTGCCCCCTCCAATTCAAAGAAACCTTACCTAACCCGCTATCCTAGGGTATGAGCCGGAACATCGCTCAAAAAGGTCCCCAAACTGGCCCCATTCTCCTCTATAACCGCACAGCCGCACGAGCAACCGCCCACGCCTCGGAAATCACCAATTCCAAAGCCGTACTAACCCTCGCCGAGGCTGTAAATCAGTCCGACCTGATCTTCACCTGTGTTGGCGATGATGCCGCCCTCAACTCAATCGTCACCGCAATCATGTCGGACTCCACAATCCCGCAAGATTTGTCTACCAAGATCTTCACCGACTGCTCGACCGTGCATCCGGATACATCCCGACGCATAGAAGCAGCCTTCAACGAGCGGGGAGCAGGATTTGTGGCATGTCCTGTCTTCGGGGCGCCGAATATGGCAGATGCGGGACAACTTATCGTCGTTCCGGCCGGAAAGCGTGCAGTAATCGAGACAGTGCGACCGTTCTTCGATGGTGTCGT